AAGAGTGCCCTGGAAACTGTTGGCATTTACCAGAAAGCTTCACACTGGCAGGTTGGGAGTATCATAAAGTAAGCTAAATATATATATAAATCTCCCCTGGGCAGTGATAATTTTCTTCCAAAATATCAAGTGACATCCAGTCCTTTCACTGCAGATGCTTGGATGGTTGACATCTCACTGTGCTTAATTGTTTGAAAATGACTCAACATTTCTTCCCAAAATTAATATGCTGTCTTGACATATTTGAAGATAAGAAATGAAGCTCAAGGCATTTCAGGAAAGAAGATGCATTGGTTATTGAAAAAAATCACTGTGTTGGGGAAGGAGGGCTGGGTAGAGTTGCTCCTTCTCCAGCACAGTGGACTGTCTAGAGTGCAGGGGTTTCCACTTAGCATCAGCCAGACTTTTCAACTCAACATGTCAACACCTAACACCTCCCTGTCTGAAGCTATGTACATGCCCAATGCTCATCATATTCTTCATGCTCTCTGTTGTGGAGGTACATTGTCAGATAATGGGCCAGGTAAGACACTGAGTCTCCTCCAAATGAAAGGTAAGAGATTGATGAGACAAGCCTTAAGTTGGAGGAAAATATTTGTAATCGCATCATTAATGAACAAGTTGCATATAGTGTACAGACGAACTTCTGTACCCATGCATTCCATTCCATAGACTCGACAGCCATGAGGAAGAAACAGTAGGAAAGAAAAGCTCCCGCAGAAAATCCACAGACTTTTCCCTAGTCATCAGTCCCTAAACAAGACAGAGTAATAATTGTTACATAGTACTTCAGTTGCATTAGACATCACAAGTAATGCAGAAATGGCCTAAACTCTTCCTCTATGCGAACATTCCATTATATTACGCAAGAGACTCGAACGTGCCAAAATGCAGACATAGATGGGAGATCCTGGGGTTGATTCTCTACAAATCCTGAGACAACTCTGTATGCAGAACTCTCAAAAGCCAATAGCGATGAATCAGAAATGACAAGGAGAACAATATGAACAGACATTTCACCCCAGAAAGTGTGAGCTTCTCTCCAGTCGTTGGGAAATTCGAAATGAAAACCTCTGGGAAAGACAAGGTGTAATGTTCAAACGGGAGCTAAAATGAAAACAAATGACCAGTCAAGGGTAATTAGGGAGGGAGACCATGTGAAAGTCTCCTGCCTCACTCCTGGGGTATAGGAGGAAGCCTGTATGCCGCCATTAGCCATGTGACTTACTAGAGGCGCATACAGATGAGGTAATAAAAGAGCGGTTTACCACACCGCTAACCACTTTAGGCATGACTAAAGACGTATACGGACAGACGTAAAGACGTATATGTACGTAGGCGGTGAACTATGCACTAGCCAGGCCCACTTTTGGGCATGGCTGGGGGGGTGGTTACGGGGAAGGCATAAAAGACCGAAGAACGGAAGTCTTAGTCTCTTTTCCGGATTTCGGCTTCCAGTTCGGCAGCGGAAAACTACTGGGCTCATCTGGGTTACTTGTTTGGTATCTTGTGAGTAATTTCTACAATAAATACCTAGTTTTACTCTCAGTAAGTGTGCCGTTTATCGTTACAGCGTCATTTGGAGCGTCACTGGGGTGTTCTAGTTTCATCTCTGCTGCTGTGAGGAAACACTCTGACTAAAAGCAGCTTAGGGGAGAAGAGGGCTTGCTTCACCTTACAAGTCAATGTCCGCCACTGAAGGGTCAGGGTGGGAATGCAAGCAGTGACTTGAAGCAGAAACGGGGCAGGAGCATTGCTTCCTGGCACCATGATGAAAGGTTGTAAAGCCTTTAAGGGTTAGGAGATGCAGCCTCAGTAGAGGACGTGGGCCACTAAGGTCAAATCCATGCCCACTCCGCTTCCTGACCATAGATACCATGTAACCAGCCACTCACACCCCTGCCACCGTTCCTTCCCTGATGAGACAGACTTCATACTGTGAGTCAAAATCAACCTTCCCTCCTTCCTCGTTGGGTATTTAGTGACAGCAATGAGAAAAGTGATTAATATATACAACAAAAAAAATCCCCTATAAAACCTCCAAAAAGCAATCAAAATAAAAAGCTAACCCCACAAAAGAACCTTCTTTGTCTGCTGTCTTGGACTCCAGGTTCCTTCTGTGGTCCTAGCAGTTTGAGTCACCTGTGCCATTTAGGGCTTTTTGGGCAAGAGAGGCTCTGCCACTCCCCTTCCAAGTCTAAGTAGGAGAGGTTTCCACTCCCCTTCCAAGATGAGAAAGCACCACGGCTTCTCTCTAGTGTGGACAAGGCTGGGTCAAGCCCAGGAAACCCTGCTCATTAATCTGCAGGTACCAGCTGCTCGTTTCCAAAGGCCAGCACTAACCAGGGAACCAGAGTTCAGAAGAAACGGGTGGCTGAGTGTCATGACTCAGCTACATGAGATGAATATTTCCTATATAGCATGGTACAGCATTATGCCTATATGCAATAATGGTATTGAACTCTCAGACTCAGCAAAAAGGGTATCACCTGTCGTGCTCTTGGCCACAGTCAAAGCAGTCTTAAAGACAGCTTTTCTAGGCCCTCACATCTCTCCCAACGAGAGAAATTAGCTGGGCTTGTACCCCTTCCTCCTAAATCCCTAGCCAGGACTCCTCTGAGTAAAATGGAAGCCAGGAGAAAAGAACATCAGCGAACAGGTGTAGGGGAAGGTCCCGCGTAAGGGCAGGTTCCCAGAAGAAAAAGAGAGAGAGAGAAGGAGAAAGAAAAATATGAATGGTCTGCGAGGAGTCTACCTTGTGACTAGTTACCTGGTGTCCACTGTATCTGGGGACCCGAGCTGGGAATGAGGCTGGTGTGACATAACTGGGGGAGCAGAGAGCCGAGGCCTCCTCTTCTGTAGAGGAGTGAGGAGTAAAGCCCTCCGCTGGAAGTCCTGAAGTGGCAAAAACAGACACATCCTCCAGCATCCAGTGCTGGAGGTCCTGAAGTCACAAAAACAGACATATCCTTCAGCATCCAGTGCTGGAAGTCCTGAAGTGGCAAAAACAGACACATCCTCCAGCATCCAGTGCTGGAAGTCCTGAAGTCACAAAAACAGACACATCCTCCAGCACTCAATACTCCCAGCTCAGTGAGGCCATGGTTGTGATGAACACGCCATTTTTGTGAATAGAAGACTCAGCTAATCAATACGTGTGCTCCCTCCACCCTCCTCTGCTTTCTCTGGGGGCAGAGGAGCTGACCACAGTTCCGGAAGTGAGGCTGGCAGGGAGTGCAAAGCCAGGAGTGAGGACCACAGAGGCAGGCCCAGCTGGGGACATGCTGAACCCAGAGGAGCAGCACAGAGGACCCCTCCACCTGCAGCCCACTCCCATGTCTGCCTAGGACTGGCTCACTCTCCCGCTTTGCAGGGAACCTGACCCTTTAGTCTCTTTGAAGGTTATTTTTGTTTCTGTTTCTCTCCTGAACCTCTTGTCACCCAGACACTTCTGTGCATCAGCCACAGGCCCTTCCTGAGAGAGCAAACCCATGGTTACTACCACCAGCACAATCCCCCTGCCTCAGATCCTCCAGAAACACTCTACCCACACTGTCTCCTAAGCTACACCCAACACTTATGCAAACCTTAGGCTTCTCCCATTCTCTGTCATCCCCACCTCCACTTCTGTGTGATGGTTAATTTTGTGCCTCAACGTGACCAGGCCACAGCATGCCCTGATGTTTGGCCAAACGTGATTCTGAGAGTGTCTGTGACAGAATATTGGGGTAGATTGATTGAAGAGATGGCCCTACTTCATCCTGTGAGCACAGCCTGGTCTCTCCTGCGTCATTCCTGTGAGTACATCCTGGTCTCCCCTTCATCCCTGTGAGTAAACCTGGTCTCCCCTTGTAAAAAGATTCTTCTTGCCAGCCTAGTCCCAAAGCCCCGTCAGTCCCAAATGAACACACAGGACACTATATTAATTATGAAGCTGCTGCTTGTTTGCTATGTTTCTCATTGGCTAGCTCTGACTTAATTATTAACCCGTAACTGCTAATCTGAGTATTTCCACATAGTCTTCCCTTACCGGAGAAAGGGTCCAAGCCTCTTACTCCTCTGGCGTCCTACATGGTGACTGACTGTGCCTCCGTTTCCCAGAATCCTCCACATTTCTTAGTCCCACCTATCTTGCTTCCCTATTGGCCAACAGTGCTTTATTTATCAACCAATCAGACAAACATATACAAAGAAGGACGTCCCCCATCATCCCCTGCTTCATCCCTGTGAGTACAGCCTGGTCTCCCCTGTTTCATCTCTCTTAGTTACAGCCTGGTCTCCCCTGCTTCACTAACACAGAAGTCTGTGTTTTACAATCAGTATAGTTTCTCCATTTAGGCCTAAAAGAAAGTGAAATGAGACAGAGGAGGTAGATCAATTGGCAGCCTGCCTGAAGACCTGTATCTGATTTCTATAAGCCATGTTAAAACAAAACAAAATAACAGAAACTGCATCAAGTGCTTCTATCCCCAGCACTAGGGAGGCAGAGACAGGGTGATGTTCTGAACTTGCTGGCTAGTCAATCAAGCCTGTCTGCTGAGATCCAGAGCCGGGAGATACCCTGCTTTAAAAAAAAGGTGGATGGTGCCTGATGAATGGCACCTTAGGTTGTCCCCTGGCCTCCACATATAGGTGCAGGTGAGCACCCTCATTGGCATGGACAGTGACACACACACACATATCTAGCATAATTCTGTGTGAACACAAAGCATACAGAATCAATGGAAAGTTCCCAGTGTTCAGTGGTATCTATACAGCATCAAGGGGCTTCTCTGTGACCTTGGATCCCAGCAAACCCAGATACTTCATCAGTGAGCAGGAAGGATGACCCAGCTTCAAAGGTACAACAGCTCAATTAGTGACAAAACAATTGCCTAAAACATGAGTGATGGGAGATGTCATTCTGAAATCTGTCTCTTATTGGTTGTTGAATAAAGCACTGTTGGCCAATAGGGAAGCAAGATATGTGGGACTAGGAGTCGAAGAAGATTCTGGGAAAGAGAAACACAGGGAGCCACGATGTAGCCGCTGCCATAGGGGTAAGAAGTCCAGAACCTTTTCTCTGGAAAGAGAAATACTTAGATTAACCATTATGGAGTCAGAGATAGCCAATAAGAAACCAAGCAAACAGCCAACAGTTTCATAATTAATATAGCCTCCTGTGTGTTATTTGGGACTGATGCAGCTCTGCAACCAGGCTGGTGGGAAAGCTTTACTCAACACATGAGATTTCAGATTCAGTTTCCAGAACAACAAAAAGAATCCTGCTGTCAGGCAGGAGGTACCCAGGACCTCAGAGCCTGAGTGCTTCAGACAAATACAAGGGGAGACAGCATCCCTTTGCTAGGACCCTGAGGGCTGAAATCAGTTTGTCCCCAGACCTTGCAGGCCTGAAGTGAGTCCCGTCATTGGCATCAGAAAGCAGGCATGCAGGAGTCCTCTCTGGTGTAGGACTGTTCTTTCAGAATCAGGGAGACTCAAATTAAGAGATCTTGAATGGAATGGCAGCCAGTTCCTTACTGAAGTGAGTGCAAGAAGCTAAGTGTGCTGTCTACTTCTTATTTAACCAGCCGAGGGAAATGTGGCCTGTGGAAGCGAAGAAAGAAGAAGTCACTGCCCTTGAATAATTAATTGCTTCATCTTCTCTTGGAAAACTGGTTTGTTACCTCCATTGGAAGTGCCTCTGCTCTCCTCACCCTCACCTGTGGGACAAACAGATGTGTTCCGGCATCTTGTCGCCTCTCACTTCTTTAGACAGCTGGCCTGAAGGTAAGATGGAGACACACTTTCCATCGCAGCCGCCACTCAAGCGTGCCATCAGTCCCAAGCCCTGCCCATCTCAGTGGATGTCCACACAGTTAGACTGGGCACTCGGAAGCTGTGGAGCTGTCCTTAGGACTTTATACTTATACCATCAATTACGTTTTGGCTCACTGTTCACCATATACCAGGAGAAAATAAAATGACAGAGCTGAACTAGAAGGAGGAAGAAAGCGTTATGTCACGACTCGTGCCCCTTTCCTGCATTCCATCCCCCTTCATCTGGCGTTATCCTCTCTCGCTCCCCTTTCTGAATGTCCACTATAGCCACACCTACACATATGCACTAGAAGCAGAATCTGCATCCGAGCCTGGATCACCTTGCTTAGCAATACACTTTCCATGTCCATCCTCTTTCTGTGACTTCAATTTTTCCAGCTGAATAGTGTTCCAATGTGTATATATATATATGTATATATATATATATGTATATATATATATATGACCCATTTTTACTATCTGGTCATCTGTTGGTGGACATCTAAGTTGGTTCAGTTTCCTTGGTATCATAAATAGAGCAGCAAGGAACATGGATGTGCAAATCTCAAGACTGAGTGACATCTTGGGATGATCCTCTGGGATGAGCACAATCCAGAGAAACCGGCATCCCCATGCCTAGCTCTGTTACCCTGCAATGGCAGCTGAACTTAGTTGCTGCAGTAGAAGTGACATCTCACTGAGATGAGAAAACAAAACAGGAGCCAATGAAGACTAAGTTTTAGGTCTCTTGCTGGATAAGCTCTGATGGAGCTTTTTCAATGTGTCTATTTTTATCAGCCATGGATTGTGTGCTATGAGACCTCATATGATGCCTACAAATGTCTGTGTTTTCAAATGACACAGACTGTTAAAATTGAAGGTCCATCACCTCAAAATGGAGACAGTGAGGTATAACGTGTGTTGCCTTCCAGCCAGCCTGGTCCCTGAGCAGCGTCAGTCCCAAATAACAAACAAGACACTATATTCATTATGAAGCTGTTGACCGTCTGCTTGGTTTCTTATTGGCTAGGTCTGACTTGATTATTAACCCATAATTACTCATATATATTTTACAAGAACGTATCTTAGCTAGGACGCACTCCTGCTGCATCTGTTTCTCCCGGGAGTCACATGGCGACCGCTTCTTCACTACACTTCCCAGAATCCTCCTAGACTCCTTGTTCTACCTATCTGGCTTCCCTATTGGCCAACAGGGCTGTATTGACATATACACAGGACACTCCCATCATCTCCTCTTTTCTGTCTAAATAAAAAGAAAGGTTTAACTTTAACACAGTTAAATTATATATAACAGAACAGTTATCAAGTAATAACTATAGTTATAATATTTTGTCCATTAACATTTCGTAAGATTTAAAGAAAATATCATCTATCCTATCTTTGTGAGTCTAAAGTCTTATATGTAGCTTATTTTTCATCATAACTAAGGAAAACTATAATTATAACTATCTGTCTTCAACTCCATCAAAGACCACAGAAGGAAAATACATAAACAAGAATTGACAGAGACATCTCACTACCTGAACAGTCACCCGAAGTTCCTCTGTAACGTTGGGGCATCCATCTTCAGCCCATAGGCCACAGTGTGTCTGGAAGACTCAGCAAAGCAGGAAATTTTAAACTGTCAATTTGCATTGGCAGTCTGTCAGTCATTTTTCTGTGTCCTACAGAAAGTTTGGCAGACTCTTCCATGAAGCAGGAACCCAGAAGGACTGTTTGAGTTCAGCAGTCACTTTTCTATGGGTGCTAGATGTCCACTTTATAGAGCAATAGTCAAACAGTCCAGACAAGAGCAATTTCTTGCCCAAATGGCTAATCTTGCCATGTTGAAATCAAACTCCATAGTGAGTTTCTTTGATGCCTGTCTTCCTCTCAGACATAATTGGTGTGCCAGGAGTAGACATTTCTCATTGTCAAGAAAAACCCTAAACCATTTTAAATATCATTTTTGAAGGTCTTTGAAAGGTTTGAAGACTATCTATCTCAAATATATCTCTGTTATCTAGAAAACCTAACTTACCTAACTATAAGTTTTGAGTATTATAAGTAACTATATTTTGTACTTATCTATACATCACATTTTTATTTTATTTTTTGTTTTTTTATACATCACATTTTTAAAAGATCAGTGTAAACACAATATTTAAACAAGAAGAGAAATATATATATCACAAAATTGACCTTAAATTTGGATCAATAAATGAAAATCCATTCCAAGACGAAGTATTTATTTCTATACCATATTTCCTTTTTTCCTTTTATAAAGAAATTGACTATGATCATTACCATTTATAAGCAACCACATTTAAACAAAAACAAAATTTTATGAACAATATTTGGGAAGCTGGGCGTAGTTCATTCCAAACTGCTTTCTGTTGGATAGGGACGCTGTCCATAACATGGGGATCATGACAAACAACAGAAACATGGCCAAGTCTTTGTTTTTGTGTCCTTTAAGGCTGTATCAACTTAGTTGTTTTAGATGTTGGATCACCTGGGCCACTGTTTTCACGGGTCTTGGTTCATCAAACCACAGAAGTCTGGAAGGAATCCACAGCTTTTCATTTTCTGTGGAAACAGAAATAAAATATCTTTTCCAAAGTAACATATCCTTATACTTAAATTTTGAAGTCAAGGCATTTTTAAAAGATATAATTTAGCAGCATTTATAATCACGTATATTTCAGCATTTGTTGTTCCTTCCTTAGCAATTGAACAACTGAAAAACACAATAGCATACAGTATCTAGACTTTACGTGGCTTATTTATTTATCTATTATTATTACTCTATTTTTTACTTTTATTTATTTATTTCTTTCTCTGAGACAGGGTTTCTCTTGAAATCTGCCTGTCTCTGTCTCTGGAGTAAATCCCACCGGCGTGTGCCACCACAACCAGCTTCCCTATTTCTTTTTCCACTATCCTGTTTCTTTTTTCTCTAAAGCCTACATATATTGTTAAACACAGTGTAAATCTTTAGAGGGTTTTTTAAAATCTGAATTTGTCATTATTGTAAATCTTTATGTTTTTCTGTCCATGTGTTTGTTATCTGTTAAACAACATTGTTAATCAAAACTGCGGCTGTTTTAACTGCGTTTTTCCAAGATAGCAGGGATAAGTTTACTGCTAGTGCTGGCTGGCAAGTCTCTGTTTGTCTCTAGCAAAACAGAGCTCACCTGAGAAAAATGCTGCTAACAAATAGCCATGCTTCTCTCTGCTCTTTTGTTTTTAAAATCCCTGTTAAGCTTTTGTCATTCTACGTGGAAATTCATAATCCAACTCCTGACACCATATGTAACGTGCTGCCTTCCCGCCAGCCTGGTCCCTGAGCAGCGTCAGTCCCAAATAACACACAAGACACTATATTAATTATGAAGCTGTTGGCCATTTGCTTGGTTTCTTATTGGCTAGCTCTGACTTGATTAACCCATAATTACTCATATATATTTTACAAGAACTAATCTTTGCTAGGATGCACTCCTGCCACATCCATTCCTTCCGGGAGTCACATGGCGACCAGCTTCTTCACTACATTTCCCAGAATCCTCCTAGACTCCTAGTCCCACCTATCTTGCTTCCCTATTGGCCAACAGTGCTTTATTGACATATACACAGGACTCTCCCATCAGTGAGGTTAAGATAAACTTGAGGTTGTTGACTCTGTAGTGCCTCTTACAGTTGGGCTACCTCTGATGCATGGGATAAAGGGGAATGAGAAGGAATCTGGGGGAGGCACATCTAGTTAAGGGGTACCCTCTGTAGCATCACTGTCCTGATTCTCCACAGACTGGTGACCTGAGCTCCCATGACACAGAGTGGAAGGAACACAACATAATTATCAAAGTGATCAGGGGATATTGCAGCAATAATAGATTAAATGAGAGACACAATTCTCCTGCTGCATGAGTAGACCTTGGTGGAGCCTGCCAAACCAAGCGGGTCATCTTGGCTTCCTACAATATCATTCTTTACATATTTCCTTTATTCCTTGATCTACCATATGGCCCCATCAGGGAAAAGGAGAGGACCAACTCCTGCATGCTGGTCTCTGACTTCCATGTGTCCCCAAACACACACACACACATACAAATAAATGTAAGGCTCGGATGTACTGCTCATGAGTGACACTGAGCTGGACTTTTGGGGATCCCGAAATTAATTTAATCTCACAAAATCTATCCTTCCTGACAGAGTCAGGGTCTTACAGCTTCCTATGAATGGGGTAGTCAGGGTTTCTATTGTTGTTTTAAAACACCATAACCAAAGGTAACTTGGGGAAGAAAGAGTCAATTTTATCTTACACCTTTCAGGTAACATTACAAGGGAAGCCTTTGGGAGAACTCAAGGCAGGAACCTGGAGGCAAGAGCTGAAACAGGGGCCGGGAATGAAAGATGTTTACTGGCTAGCCCCCTCGTCTTGCTCAGTTTGCTTTCTTATACACCACCCACAATGGACTGGGCCCTCCCACATCAATCATTAATCAATTAAATGTCCCTCATTAATTAAGAAAATGACCCGTAGTCTTATCTACGGGCCAAGATTATAGGACATTTTCTCAACTGGCATTCCCTCCTTTCAGATGGCTTTAGCTTGTGTCAAGTTGAGGAAACATGAGCCAGCACAGATGTGGTCTCATAGCTTAAGCCTTCGGCCAGGCTCTCTGATTCCCACTCAGGAGACATGGAAAGGCATGGGAAGCAGGGGGTGTGACTGCCAATACTCTTCGGTGCAAACTCACTTCCCTACAAACCTGCTAGATTGAGATTTCACAGGGATGCCTGTCCATATCTGAGAGAGGGAAGGGGCTGCTGCCAGGAGGATGGTCTGAGAAGCAACTGAATTTAGCACCACATTCTTAAAGGGGTGTGGATGCCATCAGAACGCAGGGCCTTCCCTGCAGTGGGATCCGATGAATTCACTTAGGCTTTGGCAGGGCTGTGACAATGGTAGCCTTGCTGGCAGTCAGAGATAAGAAACAGCCCTATGAGGCAGAAGAAAAGCCGGTCACATCACAGATGCTCAGAAAGGGAATCTGCAGAGGGAGGAAGTGAGGGGTATCATCTGCCTATGGCAGATACAGAGAAGTCTTCTGCAGTGCTGCAGGGTTTGCTGTTGGCCTTGAAAATGGCCTGCTTGTCTGTGGTAGGCACAGCCTTGCAGA